TCATCGAGATCGGACTTCAAAAAGTTCCTTCCAAAAAATCGACCTTTCAGAGCCCTTAGACAGAGCAGAAATGGAAATGTTTGTCTTAGTATTATTCTAGGACCTCCTACCATTAATATGAGCCCTTTGGAATCGATTTCGAACTTTTCAGTTCGTTACCAGAGCATTCGATCAGTAGTGTAGTCGTACTCAGTCACGTCGCTAACAAAGTTGTCACGTCGCTAACGCCAAATAGATTTTATTTTTTTAAAAACCTAAACATTCTCAAAATAATTTTACACTGGGATTTGGTGGCCTTAGGAGTGGTGTCTAGTATCGCGTATTAAGTTTTTGACAATTGTGCAACACTTAGAAATTTTTAAAAACCAAAGTATATCAAGTGACTTTTGATGTCCTTTTTGGTGTCACATCGCTAACGCTAGTTTTTCGTTAATAACTCCTCTGAACAAAGCTCTAGAGTGTTGTTTTTTTCATAGTATCTAGAGTAAATAGAGACTCGTACACCATTCAAAAATCACACCTAAACTAGTTGATAGTGCCGAGATATGCATACTCCAAGTTTACGATGTCACGTCGCTAACGAATGATTTTACCCATATATATATAATGCTCTATAAATAACCCTTCAATGATAACTTGTTTTGGATAGATATGTACTAAACCGCGGATTCCAGTTCGTGTTCGGACAATGACCTTATAGTTCGTGTTCGATATGAAAAAGTAGTTGTTATTGTTCTAGGCTTTTTTCAACACATTACTAGCTATCATGTCTGTCAACAAACATTCACAAGAGAATGTTAGAACAGATACTATCTATGTTTTGATAGATCCAAATACCTAGAATATATAGAAGAAAAGATCACTTGGGTGATAAAAGACAAAAGATTTTTGCTTGTGTTTCAATGGTTGGTCATAGACATAGTAAGAAGTCGAAACAATGCAGTAAGGAAATATAAGAATACATCTAAAACAGTTGAGAATCTCTTCGTTCTTTAGATTACCGCACATCTAATCGAGCTGAAATTTTGTTCTCTTCATACTAGAAAATATTTAGAGTTTCTCCGTATTTTTCCAAATATAATGTACTGCTTATATTTGCAATAGTTCATAAAAGAAAAAGCTCTAGCCGAAAAACATGAGTTTTTGAAAGTACTCTCAGAACCTTAATGTTTTCATTCAAACAGAAGCAAACAAAATATAGGTAGACACTTCTAACAGTATTTGACAAAAAAAAAATGTGTCCTAAATAGACTATAAGGAGCATCTTAATCCTCTACTGTACGAATTGCATCTATGATGAAAGGTCGAGCCCCAAAAATCTTCCTATTAAAAAATCAGTTTTCTAGAGATCCTATCAAATACCATTACCCTAACCTGATATCTACCGTTTGAACTCATATTATAAGAAATTTCGCCCATAGACAGGTCTGATAATTTTGTAAATATCTTGAAGCAAAGAGAATTTTTTCAGGAAGATCAATATATTTATTTATGTATTTTTTTTTTTTAAGGAAAAGAAAACCATGGTACGAAAATTAGTTGAACGCGCTGATGTATTAGTCGAACGTTCACATTCATTTGCACCACTTATTAAAGATACATGTAATCGACTTGATTCTGGTTTTAATAATTTTTTTCAAAAAATAATGAGAATTAATAATAAAGAAGTTTGTATTTATACTTTTTCGAACAAAAAAAGATAAATTTATGATTTTGTTTTTTTTAAAGGAAATTGATAAAGAAGCTGGTCGAAAAAGTGATTCAAGTTTAGAAGAAAAATTAGAACAACAAGAATTAAATGAAGGAAAACGAAAAGCAGCTAAACAACGAGAGTAAAAAGACAAAAAAAAAAGTTATTTTAAAAATTTTAATTCTTTTTTTGTTTTTTGTTTAAATTAAGATTAATTTTTAATGAATTACTTAATACAGAACGTGCTTATGTTGATAGTTTAAATAAATGTATTCAAGTAAGTTGAAAAGAATATTTTATTTAAATAAAATAATTTTCTTATCATTAATTTCTATTTATAGCATTATCTTGGTGAAATGCGTCAACATTCTGAAGAAGTACCAGAATTTTTACGTAATAAAGAATCAATATTATTTTTAAATATTGAAGAAATTCATAATTTTCATAAGAAGTAAATTCAAATTTATTTTCAAATATATAAATAATGAATTAAAAAAAAAAATTTTTTTATTTTATTTTGTAGTTTATTCATCAAAGATTTAGAACGATATGAAGATAGTCCTGAAGATGTTGGTCATTGTTTTGTTACATGGGTAAATAAAATTTGGTTAATACAAAAAAAAAAACTTTATATATATATTTTTTTTCTTTTGTTTAGGCAAAACAATTTCATATTTATTATGTTGAATATTGTAAAAATAATGAAACATGTATTAAATTATTAACACAATATCGTGGTCCATATTTTGAGGTAAATATTACAAAAAAGTTATTTTAAAAAATTTATTTTCAAAATATCACATATTTAAAGTATACGAAAAGTAATAGCAATGCAAATAGTGTTCGATATTTCTTAAATATCCGTTCAGTTTTTCATTGATACGATAATAAAAGAAATTTTGATAAAATTTACTTGTCGTTGTTTTAAATAGATAAGAAAAATTTTCGCTTCTATAACCTTTCTCTGTAATTAAACATGAGCGGAACCAATTGTTTTTGGTTTCGGTCTGATTCCCGCGAGACCTCAGATCATTTTGTCCATAACACATAGGTCGTGATAATATGACATTCGACACAAGTTTTATATGACCATAAAAAGTATTCATTCCCTATGAAAAAATGTTGGGATTGAAACCATCTTGTTCATATCTACTCGCAATATAAAACTCTCCTTGGACGTAAGAGAAGAGTCTTCTTATAATTAAATAAGTTCTTGCGGAAAGTTTTGAGCTGAAAATTTTTGAAAAACATTGAGGCCGACATTATTTCATCCGTGAAAATATCTTTCTGAATCGTTAAAATCGCTTTTTTCTTTTTGTTGAAAAATCCTTTGAATTAAAATAAATGATAAATAATAGAAGATCTGAAGTCTTCTATTGGGTAAAGCGAAAATCGAATAGATTGAAAATTTTAGGAACAAAGTCTCAAATTAAAAAAAGTTCGCTCGCGACTAATTAATCAGTTATTCCAAGTAATTTTTTTCATTAGAATTAATTTTACTAAGAACTTCGAGTCAGAGTTGGCACTAGTCCGGTTGATAAAAAAACTTTCCTTTTTTCTCATTCAGATACTGTCTTGACAGTCAGACCTTATTTTTCTATCCTTTCTGTTTATGTTATGCGTTAAGAAAGATCAAGTTTCAACTCTGGTTCTAGTTCACATCTTGCATATATCAAAGAAATGTGTACTTCGTTATGACAATTTTCAGTTTACCAATAGTATCTTCTTCGTTTTTTTTTAGTGTCGATTTAGCTTATTCTTCTGTATTGACGTCTTTTATTAGAAAAAGCTTCTTTTTGTATTAGTAAAAGTTTTCTCAACTATTATTCGTTTCAAGCAATTTTTTGCCCGAAGGGATTTACACTGCATTTCTGATGACTACACTTCAGCTTGTAGAGATATTGAACGATCATTGATATTGTGAAAATCAAAAACACGAACTGATCGATATATAATCGACACAACATCATCTGAAAAAGTTCATTAATAACTATTATTAGTAATAAATTGGTCTGAGTGAAAGTAAAAGAATAATGAAATATGAATTATTCGTTTAAAAAAATTTTTTTTTTAAATTTTCCAATTTCAAATAATTCCAATTAGCTTTATACTTTGTATGAAAAAATAGAAAAGAAAAACATATATTTATATAATCTAAGTACATAATAATATTCTTACATCCATTGTAGACACTCTGTCTATTAGTTTTTTTGTTTTTTGTGCATATCGACATTTCCTTGAAATGCCATTATTAATAAACCAGAAAAAAGAAAAGACAACATCCTGTTTGACATCGACATTGATTTTTTAGACAATTCAACATAAATATCAAATTGATACAATAAATTCCTATTTAATTAAACCTGTTCAACGTATAACTAAATATGAATTATTACTTCAACGTTTAATGTCTTGTTGTGAAGAATCCAAAGGTGAAGTTAAAGAAGGTTATGATCTTATGTGTAGTGTACCAAAAAAAGCAAATGATGCAATGCATCTTAGTTATCTTGAAGAACTTGAAGTTTGTATCTTAAAATTTTCTTTTGTTTTTTTTTTTTTTTTTATTGATTTTAATATATTTAGTCTGGTTTAACAAAAGAAGCATTAGGTGATGTACTACTTCAAAATACATTTCAAATATGGGATTCCAAACAACTTATAAAAAAAGGAAAAGAACGACATGTTTTTCTATTTGAAACAAGTATTGTTATTGCTAAAATTCTTAAACCAGTTACACGTGGAACTGTTCGATATATTTATAAATATAAATTAATGGTTTGTTCAAAATTACTTTTTTCTTAACAACAAAAAAAGAATTTTGTGTTTTTTTTTTAAATTATATTAGACTGCTGAAATCTTTGATGTTAAAGAACATTTAGAAGCAGGTGAACCATGTAAATTTGCATTATATACAGGTCGTCCAATGTCATCACATACAGCTGATCTTCGAGTAACACTTAAAGTAATTTAAGAAAAAATTGATTAGACATACATACACACACACACACAAAAAAAAGGCAAATTTTAATTTTAATTTATTTGTTATAGGCAAATGATCTTAGTACAAAACAACAATGGGTTATACGTATACGAGAACTCATTCAAGAGAATGATCTTTATCATGATTTATCAATGCATGAAACAAATACAAAACAAACAACAATACAAAATAAAATTTCACAATTTATTAATAATAATCAGTCAGATAGGTATGAAAATTAAGAATTATTATTAAGTTGAAATCTATTAATATAATACAAAAAACTAATCTATTAATCTTATGCTTTTCTTTTTGTCCTATATAAATAACAGAAATAGAAAATATATAATAATAACCAATCAAATTAGAGGACATTTTAGCAATAAGAATTCATATTGAAAGAATATTTTCAATGAAATTTTATTTCTTTCGATTTATAATATTATTAAATCTACATTTCAACTAGACTATAAATTTGAAATATTATTTGATCTATATACATTTCACCGGAAGTCATATCATTGAAATTCGGCAATCTACATTTTAATGATCAAATCCTATCGGCGATATTCTAAGATGATATCTACAGTATCAGTATATATATATATATAAAGTGAATGAAAATAATGATCGCCAAAATGAAGATCATCGAAAGATATTTGATGATCTTTATTTTCGATAATGTTCGCTGCGACCATAGAATACACATAATCTATTTCTTTCTCGTTAGTCAAATCATATTGTATTCATAAGTAATAAATATGATATATGTCTTCGTACATATAATTCAATGGAAAAGGATATATAATCGAAGGACATCATTGATACATAGAAAATATCTTCTAATTCTTTTTTTTCTTCTTTCTAGACGATCACAAGAAATAGCTGATAATGTATCCGATGAATTCGAACATATAAGTCGTGGTGGTTCATTATCAAGTATGACAACTGGTTCATTTTCAAGTAGTGGTCAATATCATCAAATTCAACAGGTATAGTAACCATTTAAACAAAACCAAAAAAAGAAAGTCTTTGTCTATTGAATCTATTCATTATTCATATAAATAGAAATATCTCTAGCATATGTTCTATCGATTCCTATAGTCAATATTGTTTTCTTTTTTTTTACGATCTACCCAATTATGTTCTTTTAGTAATTGCATGTGTTATGCGACGAGTCTTAGAGAGACGAGAACTATCTGTCAACAAAATAACCTTGACAAAACAATGTTCTTTCTTTTGTACCAATATGTATATATATACATACTCTTCTTGACTGTAAGATAAACATCTAATCTCAATAATATGTACATATGAAGATGAAAAAACTTCGATTGTATGAATAGACTATTGAGTAAACAAACTGTTGTATTTAAAAATTCAATATATATATATATATATATAATATACATTTGTTTTTTTGTCAAATAGTAAACAATTATTTATAAATATTGCCGTAAGTGCCGAATGATACTAAACCGATATGTTTTTCTTTGTGTTGTATACTTATATGAAATGTAATAATAGCTGATAAAGCAAAAGCAAAAAAAAATCACTAAAAAACAATGACCTAGATTGAGAATAAGTAAATATACGATTCTTTTCTTTTGTCTGTTATAGTTATTTTTTTTTATTTTATTATTGTTGAATAGATGACAGTTTTTCCTTTTTTTTTTTTTTATTTTTTGTCCCCTATCGAACATTCACAGCTAATAAAGAAGCAGATATAACAAGAAAGGAATGAGAGAATATAAAAAATAAAGAAGATCCACAATGCTGCCAATGATTGGTATGGTAGCTAAGTTTATCTATCATCCATGGATATATGCCTACATGTTGATTTTCTCTCTCTCTCTCTCTCTCTCGCTCTCTCTTGTGTCTCATATATATATATATATTATCTATTAAGTGAATATAATGGTGGAAAAAAAAGAAAAACGAGGAAAAAAATATAGACCACATATATTCTGATTGAAGACAGAAACAACATGAGAGAAGAGATTCTTTTTTTTCTATTATCAAATGGTACAAAGAAAAAAAAGAAGAAATCTATTTGTCTATAATGGATTTTCTTGTATATGGTATATTTCTAACAAAGAAAACCCAATCAGTTTCAATGAATGAGCTGTGAGAAGAAACGACATCAATGGAAATATAGTCCAATATTAATTGAAGAAAATACAACAATCGATTCAAAATCTATAACAACAACGACAAGAACTGAAGAAGAAAAACATACGGAAAATACTATACGTAAATGGTATAATAGTAACGATGATGATGATGATAATGATGATGATGATGATGATGACGATGATGATGGAAATAATCAAAATAAAACTCAACACACAATATCAAAAAAAATTGAACGAGTTCTACGTAAGATAAATGCTTGGACAAATGAGACAACAGCAGCGTCAACAAATAATAATGACAATAGTACAAAACGAGAACCATTACAAGATACATCTTTCAACAAAACAAATCTATCAACTTATGATTCTATGCATCAAAAACAAGAATATAAACCTCGTTCGAAAAAATCAACATCAAATACATTATTTAATTCTTTTCGAAAACGATGTTCTTCATCAACAGTTGTTGATCCAAAACTAATTAAAAATCAGAATATATCAATTCATAGACCTTATTCAATGACATTTACCGATGAACCATTATCATCTATAACAAATACATCAACTATTCTAAATAATGATGATAATAAGAATTATTTTTATCAAGATTTAGATAGAAAGGTGAGGAAGAACAAAATAAAAAGGATTTCCAAGGTTAAAACCTAATTTTCCATTATCATTCGCTCTATAAACAATCGATTATATATAGTTAATACATATATATATATATATCGAATGTTTATATAGCTAAAAGAAAATTCAATCTAATAAATGAACATGATTGATTTGAATTATCGATAAAAACAACAATAACAAATCATTTTTTTTCAGCTTAGATCTCAATATGAGATAGACTATCCATCTTCAATTTTTACTTCAAATTGTCTCTGCAAATTATTCACAATATATTTCTTTTCGGTTACTGTTTGAGATCATACATAAAAAAAAAAAATCGAAATAATCTTCTCTAAAACTTTTTTGCAATAATCATAATTCTATAACAATAGAAAAAAAGAAATTCTCATATAAAATATAGAAATAAGATTAAATATTTTTTTTTCTTTTTTAATATTTCATCACTCATGTTCATTTTTCCATGTATAATAATTTCCGTTGTTCTTTTCTCTTTCCCTGAAGAAAAAAGAAAAGTTTTATTTTTATTTTTTCTTTTCCTATTAAATTAATAGAAAAAAATGCCCGATACCAAAGTTCAGTTTTCCTCATTTCGTCATAAAAAATCAGTTGGTAAACATCCGGTTTTGATTAATGTACTTGATAATAACAAAACTCAACGTCAATCTTTATTTTCTCCATATAACAACTTAGCACCTTTATCATCAATGTATGGTTCAGATTTTTTTTATCCATCTACAAATGAAGAACAACAACAACATGAATACGATAATTTAACTTTTATACAAAATTCATCTCATCATAATTATGATCCATTTCCAATTCTAGTTGATTGTCAACATTGTAGTCGAAGTATTGATCGATCATCATTTCGTGATATATCATGTCAAGTTCCATCCGATGATGATGATGATGTTGATGATGAAAAAAATATCTATCAAGATGTTCAATTTGAATATCAAAAACCAAAACGATCATCACCATTGTATATATCACCAGCATCAACACCACCATTATGTCAACCACCATTAGCAATTAATTTATTAGCACCATATCATTTTCGACGAAAACGTTCATTATCATCATATATTGGTTTACATAATCGTTCAAAATCAGCTCCATCAGCATCATCAAATTCAAATCGTATAAAACATTTTTCTGAGAAAAAAAATCATAAAAATTTACAACCATCACTTTCCCCTCTACAGACGAATACAAATGTATCGTCTTTACTACCTGAATCCGTTCCTGTTTCATCAACACCATCAACTACAGCCCTTCTTCGTTCTATAAAAACATCAATATATGCTATGAAAAAACGTCTCAAAGATATTCATCGTTTGTCCGAGGTGGGTATGTGCTGTTAATGATGATGACGACAACGGCAAATATATATATATATATATGTGTCTGTGGATAAGCGACAGAGAGAGAGAGAGAGAGGGAGGGAAAGGGGCAGATAGAAAAAAAAAAGAAAAAAAAACAACATCTGTTGCCTGCCTGGTTTGCCTGTGCATATACTCGTATCATCATCAAGCTATTCGACGTCGTAGAGATAGGAAAATCTGTGCACGCACAGACGTACACAACCTTTTTTTTTCTCTACAGCCAATGTTTCACTACCTGCGTACCCATCATCATAGAAAGGTAGAGCACATCTTTTAATATATATAATATCTGTTTGTATTTGCATGTAATAGTTTAGTGATTATATATATTTGTAAGTGAAAATAAGCAGCATCTTTATTTTTCTATTTATATTAATATATTATGTTTTGTGTGTGCTCAGCGCATTATATTAGAATAAGCAATAGGGTATGAAAAGATTAAATAGACAAGTCTCATCAGTCGTTATTATCTCATCTATATGTGTAAGTGTGAATATATCCTATAGTTAGTAGAAAGAAGCCCAAAAAAAAAACGGCAAAATTAGGCCAATTGGTAAACATATTCTTCGTTTTTTTTTTTATATGAAACTTTTCTTCGGAAGCTCATTGAAGAAATCAGTGATGCGTATATAATTTTTGATTATTTTTTGTTCACGGAAATACTCTAATGGGAAAAAATGCATATAAATAAAAGATTTTCTTTTTTTTTTTTTTTACTTCTATTTATTACATACGAGAAAAACAAAATACGAGAAAGACTCTATTATGTGTTTTTTTTTCTTCTCTTATCTTAATAGAATATCGAAGAAGATTACATATATTTTTTTTTCAAAAAAAAAAAAAGAAAAAGATTTACTACAAAAAAATAATTAAAATAACATTTAATATCTATCATTTATTATTATTCTTCCATATTTTTATAATATCACTAGCAGGTTGTTTTTATCGATATGTCCAAAAGGTGACATAAAACCTTTGGGATTATCGATATGTTATTGTTTTAGCATATATATAGAAAATATGTTTCGGAAAGTCAACATACATATGATGTTTCATCTAGGATGTATTGACAGATGATTAATTTAAGATGACAATATATTCATTAAATGTTTAGAGAATATTTCCGATTGACAAGTGACGAAGTTTTGTTTTTTGTTATGCTTTTTTTTTAATGATATATCTATTTTATATATATATATATATATATATATATGCAATGATTATCCCCTGCGAAGAGAAAAAAAAAGATAGGAAGGACTGACTGCTGTTGTTTATTTAAGTAAACGATCTTTGGCATAATTACTATTGCTGTTGATACCACAACAACCTTTTCTTTTCATCTTCTTTTATATATATGTGGATATGCATATGGCTAATATAACCCTTAGAATATAAAAAGTACAAGTCAAATTAATAATAAACCACTTAGTCCATCCATGTCTATTTGAATGAGAACTAACTTTATCATTAGTTGAATCTAGTTTTGTTTCTTCTTTTTTTTTTTTGTGACTCGCCTTAACCATCAGATTGATTGGCAGTCTTTGCGTGTGTTTGCGCACGCATGCACACTTTTTTTTCCTTTTCGATTGAATTAACTAGACATGCATGTTTGGCGTGTTGTGCAGTGTCTATAACGTTGAAATTCGCCGATTTTGTCGTCTATCGTCATCTTTTTGTCAAGGAAAACCTCTCAGTCTATGATTTTTCTGTCTTGAACAACAACAAAATAAGATTCTTGCCTTTACACCAATGTTTTTTTCTTCTTTCTTTTTTTTTTGCTTATGCGTCTTCATCAGGTTTTTCCCTTTCTTCCCATCATTCATGAGAAAGTAATGAATGTAACCCTGTCTTCGTGCACAAGAGTAAGCTAGTAAGAAAGAACGATGATAATGAAGACTGCAAAAAAGGAAAAGACACAGAGAGAGAGAGAGAGAGATAGAGAGGGAGGGAGGGAGACGAAGACGACAAAATGGAAGGCAACGAATGAAGACGAGCATATATACATACAAAATCGACACATACATAACCAAAATAATTGAACCATATCTGATTCGAATAATAAGAAGAATAATGTCAATAATAAAATAATTAATGTGCAAAAGACTTGATAAAGAAAAAGAAAAAAAAGAAAAAGAAAAATTTTCTTTTTTATTTTTTCTGTTTCATAAGAATTTACATTGTATAGAATATTTCACTAGGTTTTAATATCCTATACACAATTTATTTTTTATTTATTTCCTGTTTAATGATGAAGAGAAAAAAGAAAAGTCGAAGAATAAAATAAAATAATCATGGTGATTAATAGAATGATGTCGTTGTTTTGATTATGGAAGCAGTAGTTATCGTTGTAGCAAACACGGGGAAAGAAAAAAATGAAGGACGTCGACTACCACACTACCAACACCAATATTATTTAGTCTCGTTCGTCGACGACAACACACATATACAAAGACATGCTCTCACATAAGAGACAGAGAGAGAGAGAGAGAGAGAGAGAGAGAAAAGGGAGAAGAGTATTATTTAATAAATAATCATCGATGCTGATTTCATTTTTTCTTCTCCGCTACACAAATAACGTCTTGCACCGTACGTGACTACCGAGAATGACGCACACTTGACTGGACGGAAAGACAGATAACACTTCAGTTTTGTCGCTATTCATTAAGTCATCTATACTCATTTTTTTGTCTCGACAAGATTGTCTTCATTCATCGTCTAATAAATCAAGCCATTTGACTGTTAGTTATTGTGTTTCCTGTAATATTTTTATGGAATTCTGGCGCAAGATGAAGTTGCGATGGGTAACTACCTAAAAATTGATAAATGATAGTCAAGTTTCATGATTGATTGATTGGTTAGGTGATTGATTGATCATATATAGGATCCATCAAGATATGTATATATAAGAGTGACAAAGAAAGCAACACTTCTTTTGGTGTATTTTATTTTATTTTTGTTTTATGTTATTACATATATAACTAACGATTCTATCATAGGATTCGAACGTCACAACTGTATTAGACGATTATACAGCACGCAGTTCACAAGAATTAAGTGTAAGTAAAGGACAACATGTTCGTGTCGTACAACGACAACCACCAAATGCACCTGATTGGTGTCTTATACGTGTATTGAATGAACATTATAATCCATTGAGTCCACCATCACTTGCTACATCATCAACAACAATAACAACTGGTTCAATTGATTTACCATCACCATCACCATCACCATCATCATCTTCAAAATATATTGAAGGACTTGTACCAGCAGCTATTCTTAAATCAACTAAATCATCAGCATCAAATATTCATCCATTACCACCATTAGCTCTTTCAACAAGTGCTAATAAAACTGAACAAGGTAAAAAAATAAAACGAAAATATGAATTTTTCCTTAAGTTATATATATATATATATATTCTTTTTTTTTTTTCTTTATGTAGTTATCAGTAATTCTAATCTTGTAGAAATATTCTTCTTTATTATAATCAAATATATAGAATTGAACTAGTATTCCCATATGAGAATAGAACATAAAGAAAGAAAATTTGTCTTTTGCCGATAGAAGTTGTATATATATATATTTCTTTTATTTCTTGTTCTTTTATCATTGACAAAAAAAGGAAAATAACAAATAAATTTTTTATTTATTTATCTAGATTCTAATACAGACGATTCTCAATCAAGACCACAACAATCACCAGCTGTTCATTTTAGTAAACGTAAAGCTAGTTTTAGGTAATTTACTAAAAGAATTAAAAAAAAAACAGTGGATCATATTCTTTTCTATTAGGCGAATTCTTAAAAATCCTGTTCGACGTCTTAGCTTAAAAGATAATAATAGTAGTAAAGATGTTAAAAATTCAACACCACGTGATTTAGTAACTACATCAACATCTATTATATCAACGGATAGTGGTGATGGTACATCGAATAATAATAATAATAATAATAAAAAACAATCCACATCATCATCAAATTCCACAACATCAACAAAAATCAAAGTATATATTAAATAATAATAATTAAAAAGAGAAAAAAATCTTAAAATCTTTCTTTTTGTTTTTTCTCTAAAGGCATTCACATTTACAAACTCCGATGATTTGACGTTGTTTCCTGATGATACGGTATGGTGTCTTTTGTTTCGATGAAGCAATTTCCGTTTTATATATGTTTTTTGATAAGCTTGCAATTATGTTTTGTCATGTTGAAAAAAAAAAGAGAAGAAGAAGAAGTCTTGATAGGAGTGAATGAGAAAAAGAAGAAGAAAAGTCAGAATATTATAATAGACTCATTCATTTTTCAAGAGAACTATTTCTTAAAGATGTCAATCAAGAAAACTTGATGCCCATTTGACATTCATTTGTATGTAATAAAAAAAAAAAAACTTTTTTTTTATTTTTAAAAAATTTCTTTACACTTATTGACTTTTATCACTAGTAGCATCTGAGTAATAATACATTTCTTTCTTTTCTCTTATGCAATTCTTTTTGCCCGAGGATGGCTTAAATCACATATATGTGAATATACTTTATGAGAACGAACAAAAATAGAATAACACAAGCAAATCGATGTGATGTATATCTGTTACGTCGTCTTCTCATTGTGTTCTTTCGTATGAGTCTTATAATGTAGTACTGGTCACTGTCCTCATCACATAAATAAGCATATATATGTATATATATATATATACATCCGTTTTTTTTCTCTTTTCTTTCGTCTTATTCTCGAAATATTCAGTTTCTTGTGTGTACAAAAAAGAAAAAAAAGAACGTATTTCTCCTTATATTCGAGTCCTGATTTTTTTTCTTCTTTTTCTTTATACAATGTGTATGTTTTCGTTTGACATCGTCACCTTTCTGTCATTCGAATGATTATTTGCCCATACTCGATAGGTTATTTAACTTGTGAGCATATAGATTTTAAGAAGCAGAAAGAAAACGAAAAACTAAGACATAGCAAAGAATAAAATAAATAAATAAAGATGCCTCGTTTTCGATGGACAAAAAAATATAAATTATTACCATCATCAAAAAAATGGACTATTCGAAAAAATGTAAGTTTTCCCTTTTTTTTTTTGCTTTTTTTTTTGACGTATTTTTCATGTTAACACTCAACAAGCACGCACATTGGTTGAAACAAATAAGAAAAAAGAAGAAGAAGAAAACTCGTTCTCGGAAAGTGATGATGCTCGCTTTCGGCACCCATCAAATGACATAAAAAAAAAGAAAAATTGGTGTCGCCATCAGACCCAAGAGAATAGAAGAGGAAGTAGAAGCGTAATTCGATGCTACTTGTGTCTAGCAAAAATAGCATGGTGATCAAAGAATATATTCATATATGAGTTGAAGATGTTTGTTGTTCTTCATTCTTAGAAGTACATATATATATATATATATATATTTCTTGTTATTTTGTAATATATTTTCTTATCAATAAAAATATGTATTTTTTTTGTTTTGTTTTTTGTATTTATATTAGAATTCATCAAGTAAATTAATGGATGGTAATGCTGGTATGAATGGTATTTATAAAATGACTGAATCATCTTCATCACCATCAAGTGTAACAACAATTATATCTCCATCAACAACACTTGCTGGTGATGATTTAGAAAATGATGTTATTGAAGTACCACCACCAATGGATATTCAAGTTCAACCAAAATTATCTGCTGATACAAATGTTGATAAAGTCACTACGGACGAATCTTCTTCACTCGTAAGTAATACGTCATCCTTTTTCTTTTTTGCATACGTCATATAGTCATATTTGGTAATGGATTTTTACCTCCTCCTCTCGTTCTTATTCATATCAGGTGACGTCAAAAAAATTGAAGTTATATTAGTGATAGTATAGAGAGTAGTAACAACAGCAGTTGTTCTTTCTCTTTCCTTTCGATTTCATCGACCTATATATGTATACTGTAGTGCTAAGCGCAATGAAGGCGTTATCTCAACACATCCATTACATATTTAGACGAAGAAGATAACAACAACAACAAGAGAGTGTTGTTAATAAGAATCATACAAAAGGAAAAATCGAGATAGAAGAAATATCATAGACAAAAGAAAAACAAAACAAAAAAAAAGAACTCTTATGTCGACACAATGTTCAAATAAATATATACATTAAATATTCTGGTCAATAATATTTATTCTTTTTTTTTGTTTTTGTTTTATCGAATGTTTTTTTAATGTTCATTAATCATGGTCATAGTAAAATGCATAGATTATAATGAGACAATTGCTTATATCAAATAAAGTAATAACAAAAACATTGTCGTTCAGTATACAAAAACGAGAATGTTTCGGCTCTTTTCCTTCAATTCTCTCGTCATCTAATTGCATTGCTTGTTGCTATTACTACTACTAGTTCTCCTGTTGCTGATACTTCATCGCCCGGAACGCTCGCACTCGTGTGCGCCTGCGCATACACACAGAAAAATGTGTCGGCAAGAACAGTAGAAAATGATGATGGGCGTCCGCATTTTTTCGCGCTCGCTTCCGAATAATCGCAATAATAATGTTAGGCGACCGAGCGAGGCCAAACGACAACGGGACCAGTTGATAGTAGCTGTTTTTCTTTCTTTTCTTTGTTTTTTTTCCCTTCTCTTTTCGCATTTTTTTTTTCTTTTTACATACCCTCTTATTCTCAGTTCTTCTTTTTTTTTTTGCCACTGTGCTACGTTATTACTTTGTTGGTGAATCAAAAAAAAAGATTGTCTTATATTTACTATCGACGACAATGACGACGTTCCAATATCATCTTCTATGACATTTTCATTTAATAGACAAATCAACAACAATATTATTATACATATACGACGTGCACATTTTTTAGTTTTTTGAGCATTTTTACTATTAACATAGTAAAAAAAACAAAAAAACAAAAAAAGAAAAAGAAAAAAAAGAGCGAATCTCTCTTTCTCTTTATCCTTTACATCCTATCAGTAATACTACACCTACTACTAACTTGAGAAAAATCGACGGGCGTACATTTCCGCTCGGTAGGAGACAGTCCGACGACAACAAAACTGCAAAGAAAAAATCTTAAGCAGAAAACAGTATTTAGAACAAAAAGAGAGAGGGAAAAAAGAAAGAAGATACAAACAAACAAACAAACAAACAAACACGGAGATCAATACAGTTGTAAGAAAATTAGTTGATACAATTGCACTGGAGTCGTCCAGAAGCCATAGTAGAAATGTATCAACGCGTTTACGTAAAGTACGCGCACCACCATTAACATCTGTCACTCCAATTGAAGATGATTCGGTTATTGCTCGACTTGTTCAGCATGTTGTAAGCTATAGAATTACTTTTTGATAAATGACAAAAAAAAAAAAGAAAATGATTAATATTCTCATAAAAATGTTTTCTTTTTTTTTTTTTATTATAGGCACCTCTCAGTATTGTTGCTGGACTTTCAGCAAGTGATTTTCATATCCCGTCTGCTTTGTCAGTGACGACACCGTCCGTCAATGATGTTTCGACAACGAGTAGTTCGATGCCATCGTCAAGTATTCTACAACAATATTCATCAACAATACCAACATCATCATCTCTATCGTCATCTCCATCAACAATAACAACAACTACTAATAATAATAATAATAATAATCCTTTATTATCTTCGTCAACATCAACTGTGATTCCAAATGATAATCTTAATGAACAAACTGATGAAATATCTTTACATGATATTGATGCAAGTATTGATCAATCATTAGCATTACATAGTTCAACACCAACAACAACAAATGATGAACATATTGATGATCGGACAAAATATGGTGAAAAACGAAGGTAATTAAAAAAAAGAAAAAGAAAAAAAAAACTTAAAGATTGTTATTTTTTGATTGATAGACATAATATTATTGAATTAATTGAAACAGAAAAAGAATACGTCAAAGATTTGGCATTGATTGTTGAAGTATAATATAATAGTATTTATGTTTTTATTATAGTTATTTATTTGGGCTTTTTTTTAAGGGTTATATGAATGTTCTTGAAAATGATAAAGATATTAAAAAACCAACAGGTCTTGTTGGTCTTGAACGTGTTGTTTTTGGTAATGTACAGAGAATTTTTGAATTTCATCGAGAGTAAGTTTAATAAATAAAACGAATTTTTATTATTCACAATGTCTTTTCTTTTTTTTTTTTAAAGTACATTCTTACCACAACTTGAAGGAAGTATTGAAAATCCTGATATACTCGGTCGATTATTTACCGTATGAAAAAGAAGAAAAAAAAAAACAAAAAAAAAAGAAATTTTTTTCTCTTTTATAGACAAATCGATTTAGTCCTTATGTAAGATATTGTGAAAATAAACCACGATCAGAATATATTGTTTCGGAATATCATGATTATTTTGAAGTAAGTTTTTTTTCTTTTTTTTTTTTTTTACTTTTAATAAGATTAAAAAAAAAGAAGAAAATAAACTCTATGCAATTACACAATCGCTAATAATATAATTAAAGATCATCCATTTGGAAAAGTTACATATATATATATATATATAATTAGTCATTGTAAAAAATTTTCTCTTTTTTTTCTCGTTTAATGTAAAACATAAACGTTTCCTTTTTCAATCGTCTTTATAATTCAAGAAAATAAAATATAAATGAATTCAACCGATAAATAACATGAGACAAACTGGAAATTCTATTATGAATAAAAGATCACGTCTAAAGAGAAGAAGATCAAAGAAAGAAAAAAAAATATTCATGCTATTTTCATCTGACTATTTCCTCTATAGTAACAACAACAAAAAAACAAACAAGAAATTTTGTAAAACAAAAGCTATCCTATAAAAATTTGAATTTTTTTTTTTTTTGTTTTTACCAAAAAAAAAAGAAAACATCTTGCATCGAAAAGAGCTCTTGACAAAATGCCTATAGCATCACTTGGATAAAAGCTACAACTTAGTTCTATATAACATTTTATAAAGAAGTGTTTACTCGATAGACGATCGACTGCAATGGCAAGAGATTTATAAGAGGAAAGAAAAGTATCCTTGCCCAAGGTCGGACTCAATAGTTTGATATCTCTCTTACAACTATAACTCTAAGGACAAGATCAACTTGACATAGAGTTCTGACGTTCAATTACTTGACCTTTTCATACACATTAACTAACTATATACATGAGCAGCTGTATATCATAACTTACTCAGCATGCTATCACACGGATGATCCGAAACAAATAGTTGTTAGTAGTTTGTCCATGGATTGTGGTATGCACATGTGTCGAACAACGTTTTCCATTGTGTTATTACAGCTATGAAACTTATAGGAGTTAACAGAAGTCTATAGATTCATTATTCAAAAATTTTCTTCTACATCATATTTATGAACGATTAACAGAAAAATCACTAACTGCTGTCTATCTCAAATTACTTGTTGAATAATATGCTAACTAAGTTTTGATATATATGATTAGTCTGTGTGTATGGAGAAGTTAAGTCAACTTTCTTTTTTACCTGACATTTTGACGACAAATACAGCTTGGTAACGTCTGATCGCAAGTACCAATTCGAGATCGATAGGCTTTAACACAAAGTATTAACGAATAAAACACTAAGTTTTTTTTCCTTAGAAGTCAAAAAGACATTTTTCACTATTTAAATACGTTAATTTCTATTTTTTTTTATTAATAAATAAAGAATTCACATATCAATATTGTGTCATAGACAGTGTACTTTAATTAAGTGTAATCTTGAGACAGTCTCAACATGAATCTTTTCTCCATTAATGGCTACAGTCATGAAATTTTGAGAATAAACTTAATTAGAGCAGAACATTTGCTGGAAAAAATTTCAAGATAAATGATTAAAATTAATCGGAAATATCAGTCACTTGTTGATGATTTCAATCAACACTCATATGGAAATTACTTGAGTAATTAGTCAAATTAAAACCATTTGACATGGAATTTGTACTGATGATACAAGTAGCACTAAACTGTTCGAACATTATTGAGATTTGCTTTCTATATTGAGATATCCTTATTTAAAGAAAAAATTATAAATTATAAGATTAAAGGATTAAAGTTTAGGTACTTTTTTGTGACTACTGTAATTGTAGGAAAGATATCAAGCTAATGAATCTACCGCTAGGTAGATTTATTCTTCTTCTGACTGTTATAGATTTATTTCACAAGTAAATCATAATCAAGAAAACATAAAAAAAAAAAAGAAAAATAATCATTGATCTTTGCAATCTATAGATTTAGAGAATCGCATAAAACATTTTACTATCTATAAAATAATATAAATCTAAAGTAATTCCATGTAATTACATTTTTCTTTTTTTGCTTTCATAGAAAATCTTTGCATTCTATTTTTGTTTTTTTTGTTCTATTATACATGATTGAATTTTTTTTTTCAGGAAGTTCGTAAAAAACTCGGTCAAAAATTACTTGTATCAGATTTATTAATAAAACCGGTACAACGAATAATGCGTTATCAATTATTACTTAAAGAAATTCTTAAATCAACTGATCGTATGGGTGATGAATCACGTGCTATACGTAGTGCTTTACAAGTTATGATTGAAGTACCACGTTTAGCAAATGATATGATGAATGTTGGTCGTATAAAAGATTTACCAACAAATGTACATCAATTAGGTGAACTTAAATTACAAGATATGTTATCTGTTAGTGAACCAATAACAAAAGAAACAAAAGATATAAAAGATATTGAAAAAAAATTAAAAGAACGACGAGTTTTTTTATTTCAACAAGCTATGGTTTTTTCCGAAGAATTACCAGCTAAAGATAAATATTCAAGTCCAAATTATATTTATAAATATGATTTAAAAGTAAATATAGAAAAAATAAAAATAAAAATAAAAAATAAAAATTTGTTTATTTTCTTTTATTAAGATTAATAAATTACAACATAAAGAATTTAAACGTAATAAAGAATTATTTCAATTTACATTAGTCGAAGTTGATGCTGGTAATACACGTCGAGTTATATGTCAATGTAAAGATGATGAACAATATGAATTATGGGTTACAAATGTAGAGAAAGTGCTTCAACGTCAGATGGATCTTATCATAGGTAATGATTTTCATCTACAAAACTTCCTTCCTAAATTTTGGATATTTTTCACATAGTCATCTTTCTGTATTAGTCAATCAACATAGCTGTTACGTATCTAGACTTAAAACGATCGGTGTATCAGTTCGAAGTTACAATGTGCTTACGTAGGAACTATTCGAGGTGATACCTTGTGTTTGAGATAAGACTTTAGTCATTATGTAGAGTCTGTTGAAAATAGAAGGATTATTTCTTATGTGCTTTTTACGAGAAAACCGACCAAATGAATTTTGGCCTAAAACTTTATTTGTTCGGTTTTTTTTAATAAAAAGTATAACTTCGAAAGAGCAACGCATAGGAGAGAATTCTTCTATTTTCAATAGGCCCTATGAAATGACTGCGGTGTCATCTCGAATGGTTCCCTCGTTAGTGAAACTTACTACGTAGTGTCAACAAAATAACTTTGACACGTTTCGAAGCCTATTAAATAAAAGCTAAATTTTTACATATCAGTGTTAAATCTTAGATTGATATAATTTGAATCGAATAGTAATGATATACTGAAAAATTTTTGAAATACCCTATATTCTAAATAAAAATACATTTTTAATTTATTTTAAATTTCTTCTAGCTCTAACTAATCCAACAGCTGCTCTACAAAAAGAGTAAGTATTTTAAAATCAATTAATTTTCATTTTTTTGATATTCTTCTGTTCTAATTTTGTCTAATAGTCCTCGTTCTAAGTAAAATTAATATTCATATATATATTTATATAAATATATATATATATATATATACATTATACGCACACACACATACAGATCAATGAGAGAGAAAAGAAAAAATAACGATTTTCCGTAAGATAAACAAATAAATGGTCTCTGTGTGCATCTTTATTTTACTACATTTATTACCACTACCATTTTTCTTCTATTCCCAAGCTTTTTTATCTGTATGATTAGTCTTGTTTGCATGTTTTTTATTTATTTCCAATCTAAACCTGCCTGGTCTTCTTCTTCTGGTTTTTTTAAAATTCTCTTTTCTTTTCTTTGTTTATTTTGTTATGTATGTTAAATGTAAATCTATAGGTTATTGACGTGGGAATTACCTGAATGGCGACAATCAGGTCGACAACATTTTACCACTAGTGCTCATACCTTTGTTTCATCGCATTCCAATATGTGATATTTATGAAAAAAAAAAAAAGCAAGAAAAAAAAAACTGCTCATGCGAGCTTGTGGTTGTTTTTTTGATATAAGCTTTTATGCGCTCTGCTCTGATTTGAATATTAAAAAAAAAAAAGAAATAACCCTTCGAATTGTTTTAACAAATAAATTTTTTTTTTTTTTATTTAATATTTTTTTAGGCAAGACTCGTCTATGTCATTGTTTATACCAAGTCTCGTAACACCAACATCTCGTAATCAAATAAAAAAATCTATGTCTGATCGTTCTACTAAATCTCCTGAATCCTTATCACCAACACATCATTTATCAACATCACCTAAACTATCTAATCCATTAATATCACCATCTCGAACATTATCAAATTCTGATACATCACCATCACCAATACCAACAACAGAAAATTCAAATAAAAAATCAGCTTTTAATTTATTTGATTCGTTTTTACAACGTTCAGTAACAAAACCATTAACAATAAATACTTCAACACATCATGATATAACACAACAAAAAAAATTAACAACACCATCATTATCATCTTCATCAATATCAAATACACAATTACCAGAACAAGCTCGTTGTTTACATAGTTATAATGCAATAAAAGAAGATGAAATATGTGTTCATAAAGGTGAATATGTACAAATTGTTGCTGCTAATCAAGATAATCGATGGTTTGTTCATCGTGATGCTAATCGTACATCACCAGCAGCTGAAGGTTGGATACCAGGTTTTGTTCTTGGACTTAAAAATCCTAATTCAACTATACATCATAATTTATCTCCATCACCACCACCCCCATCATCATCTTCCCAACAACCGACATCATCATTATCAGCTAATAGTCTTCATCGCTTAACAACAACATCAACAACTCATCATCCAACAATTACTTATGAATCAACTTTACCTCCTAAACCTCAAACGAGTACTTGCGACAAGGTATAAAAAAAAATCTCTCTTCTCTCTTCTTTTTTTTCTTTCTCTACAAGTGTGTATGCAAGACGAGGTTACGAATCTCTGTTATAATTTTTTTTTTTTTTTATGCGAGCAGCAATCAAATATGCTATATCTTTCTTTATGTATTATATACTATATTTTGTTTGTATTTGTGTGTTTTCTTTTTCTTTCTTCGTGTATTTTCTCAATTGGTAAAAAAAAACTAATATATGTGTATGTCATAGTGTGGTTTTGTTTTTTTTTTTTCTTCTTTCTTTCTTCTGCTCGCTCCGCGTACTATATAGCAGCTCACGCAAACATGTTGTTTTATTTCTTCTTTTTTTTTTCTTTTTCTCATTTTTTTTTCTCTGTTATTTTTGTTCCGACAAAATATTAATGATGATCAATTAAAAATATGAGATTGAATGAAGATACATTTTGAAAAAAAAAAGATTTATATATATATATACTATGAACTAAATGCTTTTGATATAACAATAACAATTTCTATTGGTAAAAATGACCTTGATTATTATCCAGGGAGATGGAAAGTGATGATGTTTATAAAGACATATATATGTAATCGTCCGTGTATTTATCTTTCTGTTGTGTTTATATGTTGTTTATTTCGATGTCGTTTCTTTGTTGTTATTGTCTTTCTTTTTAATGTTATATATATATATATATATATATAAAGGGTGTTTCATACGTAACGACCCTATTTTTAATGGTTTAACTCCTTAAAAATGGGATCGTTACTTATAAAACACCCTTTATATATTCATATATATGTTTATAAATTTAGTGTATTATTCTATTCGTATATTTTATTTCTAGCGTCTTAGTGGTGTTTTACGTTATTGCGGACCTGAATTGAATATATCTGTGCATGAACGAAGTATTTTTCTTGGTCAATCATTAATTCTTCAAGGTCATGTTATTGGTAATCCACGACCAGCTATTGTTTGGCAACATCCACATGGTCATACATTAGTTGATGATAGTGTGAATATACATACACATTATGGAGATGATGGAACAATTCGTTTACAAGTATTTATCTAAAAAAAAATATATCATATATATCAATTTTTTGATAAAAATTTTTCTTTAGATTCGTTGTGTATCTATGCAAGATGCTGGTATATATGAATGTATAGCTACAAGTTCTCAAGGTACTGTTTCACAACAAATTCCTGTTCAAATAAAAGGTAAGTGAATATAGAGTTTTTAGAAGAAGAAAAAAAAAACGTCTAGAATGAGAAAGATGAAAATTTTTTAAAGAAATAATATGATACACATCAGATTTGAATTTTAATATTTTGTGAAGTACGATGTAAAAGTAGATTGTTGAATTATAGGGGTAAAAATGTGAACTCCCACCCTCCACTACAGACAGGGAGCTGCGAGTTCATGTTTTTGTGAATTTGGACCCAGGTTCGGAAGGGGCTGGAGCGACAGATCTTATTGATAAATGATTATAAACCGTACATGGATAATTTTTCGTTACGACTTCCTTCTTGCATTTCTAGAGGATTAAGAAAAGCATTGTGATGTGTTCCAAAATAGATAGAATAAAACAATCTTCCTACGATTATCGACAACAGATACATCGTATTTTCGCATTTTGATCCCACTGGAATTGTGTTAACAGTAGTTTTCTATCATAATATATTTATTCATTTGAAGATTTATAGGATAGATAAACTTTTTCTTCTTGTTTAATTATTTTAGATTCGAATGATCATCATAAACTTGAACAAGTTCGTTGGTCACCAAGATATCGACCAAATGAATATCACGAAATGAATGAAATAGCTCGGTAAATGATTATTCAAAAGATTTTATTTTGTTAAATTAATTTTTGTTTTTATTTTTTATAATAGAGGACGTCATTCAATTGTTCGTCAATGTATTCATATATCAACCGGTGATGTATGTGCTGTAAAACTAATATCAAAAAAAATTATTTCACATGAACGTGCTTTACATGAATATGCTCTTGTTTCATCTATATGTCATGATTCAATTATACGAGTATTTCATTTTATTGAAACAAATTCATTTTCAATAATTATTTCCGAATTGTAAGATAAACAAAAAAAAAACAAAAAATTTTCGTTTGTTCTATTTAAATATTTTTTATTTATAGAATATCCGGTGGACGTTTATTTGATTATCTTTGTTTACAATCAATTATAATTGAACAAAATATAGCAAAATATATGAAACAATTATTAGATGGATTAAATTATTTACATCATTGTAAAATTGTTCATTTAGATATACAAGTAAATAGTTTGAAAAGTTTCTTTTTTTTTTTGTTTTTTAATTTGTATTTATTTAGCCGGAAAATCTTCTTATTAATATTGAATATGATCAAATAAAATTATGTGATTTTGGTGATTCAATTCGTTTATCAAATATGAAATATGTTCATCGTATGAGTGGAAATATTGAATTTGCTGCACCAGAATTAATTCATGGAAATATTCCTGTTCATTATAAAACAGATATTTGGTAAACAAAAAAAAACAAAAAAAGAAACATTATTTTATTAAATATAAATTATTATTTTCAAAGGTCTATCGGTGCCATTTTATATACATTATTATCTGGTCTTTCACCATTTCTTGATGAAACTGATGAACAAACATGTGCGAATATCATAAATATCGATTTTAACTTTCCTGAAAGTCAATTTCCGTATGCATTTCAAGCTGTAAAAGAATTAATTCAAACAATTTTTGTTCGTGAACCAAAGTAAGATTTTTTTTTTCTTGTGAAACACAATCTAAAACAATTGTTGAAGTAAATACGATAGTCTGATAATGTTCCCTTCTTCCTCAATCACAGATCGTATATCAAAAACTTCTCGTTATAATATATGAATTACTTCCTTATTACATTTCTGGATAATAAACTACAGGAAATAAAACAATCTTCCTGTGATTAGCTACATCATGTTTCATATTTAAATCTCATAGAGATTGTGCTAACAATTTTGTTGTAATTAAATAAAATTTCTTTTTTTTTTCTTTTTAAGTAATCGTCCATCAGCAAGTGAATGTTTAATGAATGAATGGTTTCATCATGCTGGTCAATATCAAATATCAACAACTAATTTAAATAATTTTATTGAACGAAGAAAAATTTTAAGTGAAAAATCTTAGTTAATTAATGAACAGTTTATTACTGGAAATGAAATTTTTCTTTTGTTCAGTCTGATAAATTTTTTCTCTTTTTTTTCTTTTTCTTTTTCTCATGTTTATCTAATTTGTGTATGTTGTGTGCAATTATTCTTCACTATTATTATTATTATTGTTGTTGTTGTTGTTGAATGAATAAATTTTCTTAATCTTGATTATATTCAATATTGTAGATAAATCATGTTTATTCCTATTATTTTTCTTGTTATTATTATTATTAATTATGTTCAATCACAAACAGAACTTATTTTACCACCATTACCTTATGAATATAATGCACTTGAACCAATTCTTTCAGAACATTTAATGAGATTACATCATGATAAACATCATCAAGCATATACAACAAAAGCTAATGCTGCACTTAAATCAATGTTTACTGATGAAACATCTAGTAATGAATTAAAAGATCTAGCTAAACAACCAATTGAAGTTATACTTACACATCTTCAAAATTTACCAGAAAAATATCGTTTAACTTTAAGAAATAATGGTGGTGGTTATATTAATCATAAACTTTTCTTTTCTATGTTACGTAAACCAACAGCTACAGTTACTGAAAATAAACCAACAGGTCCATTATTTGAAGCAATTGAAAATAGTTTTGGTTCATTTGATAAATTTAAAGATATGTTTACTACTTCATCGATTAATCTTTTTGGTTCTGGTTGGATTTGGCTATTTATTGATGCACAAACAAAACAACTTTCTATTAATTTTACTGTTAATCAAGATAATCCGTAAGTAAAATATAAAATAATTATACTTTTTCTTTTGTTTATTATTAAATTTATCTTATAAATGATCTTTATTTAGAATTATGTTTGATAAAGATCATGTTGTTCTTTTAGGTATTGATCTATGGGAACATGGTTAGTATAGAAATAATAGAAGAATAAATCTATAATAAATAATGATATATTTCTTGTTTGGTTTTTGTTTAGCTTATTATCCTGTTTATGAAAATCGTCGTAATGAATATGTTGATAACTTTTGGCGTATTATCAATTGGCCTGTTGTTGAATCACTTTATACTCAAGGCACTACTAAACGTCATGATCTTTGAATAATAAACATTTTTAATTTTATTGAAACATTTCCAGTGTTGATCGTTGATTTTTTCACTTTTCGTTTTCTATTTATTTTTTTTCCTTGTTTTTTTTTCAACATCTTTTTAAAAAAGAGAAAAAGAAAATTAAAAGTAAAATATATATAAGAGTTAGATGAAAGATGAACATTTTTCTTCCAGAATAATAATGAAACGACTTGGTATTGTTTGGTTTTGAAATGATTTACGATTGCATGACAATGAAATAGATCAATTACTTGTACGTCTATATAAATGAAAGTTGTTTATTTCTTTACACAGATACTTGTATGACCCAGGACGAACAATCCGACAGTGGATCCCATCGGATCCTATCGAATCCTATCCAGATCCTATAGGATTTTATTGGATCCGGGTCACGATCCGACTAACGGATCCATAGTATTGGAATCCGATCGGAATCCGATAGGATACTATAGGAATCTTGTCGGAATCCGACTGCTGGAGTTCCTATCGAATCCGACTGTTGAATTTGATCGGATCTCTGTCGGATCCGATCGGATGTCTCTCGGATTCCAACACTAGGATTTGTTCGTCGGATCGTGACCCGGATCCCGATCGGATTTTGTAGGACTCGTTGGATCCTATAAGATACCATCGGATCCATGTCGGGTTGATAGGCCTGGGGAGCACATACGAATAACGAATATGTTACTTATATGTATTGTTTTTTCCATTATTCTTACTAACAATGATGTTTCGAAATATACTCGTTAGGCGCAGCTTTTCACGCTCCATCGGATGAGTGTATTTCGAAGCGTTTTTGTTAGTAAGAATAATAGAAAAAGCTAATTTTATCGAGAAAATCAAGTGTTTCTTCTCCATATAAAAAAAAACTCGAGTTTTTAAACATTTGTTAAGATTTTGCAAGTCATTTTTTGAATTTTTTATCTCAGGAAAATGGCTTTAAAAACTTTTAATATAGACAGTTTTGTAGAGCACGACGAGCTCTATCAAGCCATGTAAAAATATCAAAAGAAAATATTTTACTCCATACTTGAATTGTTGGTGCCTGAATTTTTTATGCCAAAAAAAAGCATAAAATTTCGTCAGTTCGACATTAAAAGGTTTTGATAACTCTTACTATTTAGTACTAATAAATCCTGTTTTCGACGCGCTTTAATTTGATATAAAATTCATTATGTATTCAACTTGAGATCATAACACTACTCCCCTAGCAAAAGATTATGCACAACCCTGTACATATAATATTCGAGTAGTATATCAATATAAATATATTGAACTTTGCGAATCAAGATTAAATCTGACCGTGTGGAACTAAGTGCTATCAGAATAGAACATATCATATAAACACCTTTTCAAAAGTTAGAAGCATAACAATGATGATATTGAAAATTACTTTTGAATATTTGATTTTAGACTAGGAGTTCACATTTACATTATTTTTTTTTCATCATCTTACACAAATAAATCACTAATTCCTATTCAGAATCATTGTATATTTACTGTTTCATTCTGTGGAATCGTTTTAAACTGTTGTAATTTAAAGAACTTAATCATTGATACAATATTTACTATACTCAATATGTATTTTAACATCGAATGAGAACATATTCAAATAAGAAATGTATATTTTATTAAAGGAGATTATATTCTAATTTTTAACTTAACTTTTCAAAGACAAAAACCATGTTCTAAATATTAATATTAACTTTCAACATATACAAATGTCATCAACAATAAAAAATTCATTCAATGAATAAAAGATCTTGTTAACACTCAATTAATCATAACTTTTTAGAAGAATTTGATGACATTATTTGTCTACGAATGATAAACTAGTTTTTACACAAGTAATTTTATTAAAATATATTAATTTAAAATTACATATAAGTGTTTTTATAATAATTACATACAACCTATGTGCAAATAGCTTAATTAATATTTGAGAGTCTTTTTATTATTCAACGCACGAAAAAAAACAAAGAAGCTCTCTGAAAACAAACATCGGAAATAATTCGTAGTCATCATTGGATTTCTATTTTGTTTTTCTATAAATAATTACATAAATATTGCACAATATAACAGACGAAAAAAAAGAATATTGAATTTTTTCTAGTAATTCGTGTCAAATGATTTTAAAATTATTGTGTATAATTGACATTCAAGTCTGTTGAATATTTTCAATCAACAAATTCATAGTCTTCAATTTTTTTTTTTGTGCTAATATATTTCATTAAATAGTTAAATATTAATTTTAATTATTCTTTGTTATGAAATACGAAAAAAAAACAATACTTTCTGTTTTAACAAAAAAAAATGATTAATTTTATTTATAGATTAATTATAGGTTTCTTCTCTAATCAACTAATTTTATTCAGATATTGAGATATTTCAAATAAATAGTTTTTTTGTATACAAGAAAAAAAAAATAGACGAGTATGCATTAATGAGAAAACTTATCGCTGAGTATTTATTGTGATTATTTTATGTAATCTATCATTTAAAATATATCAATTATCAAGTAGTTCAATCGAAAAGGTATAAAACGGAATTTTTTAATCAAAATTTGGGATTATTTTCTTATAAATTTTAAGAAAAAAAGAATATTTAGCGTGAACATTGTTACTTGACGTCTAAAATTCATCATTCACGATTAAATCTAATTCAGTATAGCACGTGACAACCATCATATGAAAGAAAACAAGAACATTTTCTTACATTCAAAATCCAGTTCATATTGTGATATCTTTTTTTTAAAAATAATATAGAATGTTTCGTTTAGTTCAAGAAGACTTTAGTTTCAAACGAGTTCTTACTAAAAGTAATCTTAAAACATGTGTGTAAACATAATATTAACCTATCCATATGCACACATTCATCTATAGATCTATTGGAATAATTCTTTTTGACAAGACTTGATTCATGAGAATTTATTTTATTTTATTTTATTTTATTTGATATCCTAAATCAACTATGAGTTTAAATCAATGTACCAATTAATTCGAATTTCATCTTTAACTGCTTCGTCATCTTGATATGCATTTCTATCAATATCACCCAATCTAGCTCCCATAGCTGCATAGAATCGACAAGCAGATACATTTGTATTTTGTGTTTCAATACTCATACATGTCGTTACTCCTTGTTGTTTACTCCATTGAATAGCATGTTTTAATAAAGCTCGTCCAATTCCTAAACGTCGACATGAAGGTGCAACACGTAAATCCCATAATGCACATTCAGGCATAGCTACAAGAGCTCCACCTATAGGCTTATCATTTTGAGTTTCATCAAGAGCAAGAAAAATTCCCCAATTAGTTGTATTCATATTAGACCATGAATGAGATAAATTTGAATTAAGTTGATCATAATCTTTTATATATGATGTAAGAAGAGGTCGTTCAATAAGTATAATTTGTTCTTTATCATCAATAACTTCATAAATAGAATGAACTTCAAATGATATTGGTATTTGATCAAATTCAGAAAGACGTGAATTGTCAACTTGGACTATACGAAATGTCATTTTATCTATATTCATAAAGATAATTAATCCATACAATGTAATTTACAAATAGAAAAATGACATAACACATTTTATTTGATCAGACAACTTACTCAATGTAGTCATAACTCTTTTGATATTTAGTTGGTTTTTTATATTATCCAATGACAAAAAAATATAATATAAATTTAAGTTAAGTCATATTTTAGCTCGTTCTGAATGTAATTTCTTTCCATTAGTCTTAATTTTGACGATGATCAAATTTATCGAAATAAAATTGTAAATCAAAAAATATTTTTCATCCTTTATTCTTTCTCATTCAATCGACATGTAAAAGGATAAAAGAAAGACTCATAGATTTATATGAATATATCTATCATATTGGTC